CATATAAGTTAAATAAGCAGGGTGACAATATACAGCCTTGATGTACTCCTTTTCCTATTTGGAACCAGTCTGTTGTTCCATGTCCAGTTCTAACTGTTGCTTCCTGACCTGCATACAGGTTTCTCAAGAGGCAGGTCAGATGGTCTGGTATGCCCATCTCTTTCAGAATTTTCCAGTTTATTGTGATCCACACAGTCAAAGGCTTTGGCATAGTCATGGCAAACCACTTCAGTATTCTTGCCTTGAGAACCATGAAGAGTATGGCAAGAGTTAAATGTATAGGTGAGATTAAAATAGCATAGTGTCAGATGAGAAATTAGAAGGCAAATGCCAGATGAAATTAACAAAAACAGAGTAAGAAATAAGTTTCATTCATGATAATTCAGCAACAGCTGAAAAAGAAAGGACTTCAACCAACAAGTCAAGCGATAGCAGCAGAAGCAAATTTAACAAAAGCACAAAGATCATATTATTGAATAAAATTGTGTGGTGGATGAGGGGGAGGAGAATGAAGAAACATGCTCATTTTATCATCAGTCAACATGAATCTAATTGTTACTGTCCTAGAAAAATAAAGTGCTGGAAGAATTATTTAAACCTCTGACTATAAAAGTACTACCAATACAAGTGTATAACAACGCCCCCAGATAAAAATAAAGAAAAGATTACAGGCTGAGTGAAAACTTCAGCATCATGGGAGAGAGAATTCTCACTGAATAATGTTTTATATGTTCTAATATTTGACCAATAGGAAGATATGCTGTTTTTCATGTAAGAATATGTGTATATGTTAATTATTTATTTTTGGCTGCGCTGGGTATTTACTGCTCCATGCAGGCTTTCTCTTGTTGTGACGATCGGGAGCTACACTAGTTGTGGTGCATGGGCTTCTTGCAGTGGATTCTCTTGCCATGAAGCAGCGGCTCTAGATGCGTGGGCTTCAGCGGCTGCAGCACATGGACTCAGGAGCTGGTTGGGGCTCCTGGGCACAGGCTCAGTAGTTGTGGTGCCCAGGCTTCGTTGCCCCAAGGCAGGTGGGATCTTCCCTGACCAGGGATCGGATCCGCGTCCCCTGCTTTGGCAGGTGGACTTTTATCCACTGGGCCACCAGGGAAGCCCTTTA